AATGACTACTACATAGGTAATTTCAGCAAATTAATTTTAGAATTTTTTTAATAAACAAATGTTTTTCTTTCCATGTTCTAGCATGAAAAATTATCAAATGATCCCAGAACCATGACAATAAATGTGCATCAAATAGATGTTAATTTTTAGATCATTAAACTTTGGGTTTTGTACATTATATTATACTCTTTTAGTGCATACTCATGAACCATGTCCATTAGATAATATCTCCTTCTAGCACATTTTTTTAATGTGATTATGCTGATGGACCGTTATTTCATACTAGCATCTTTAACCATGCATTATATTTAAAAATTATTTTTAAAATTTTTATATTAAAAGGAAAGCATAGATACAATTAGGGCTTATTTGACAAACTATTAAAACTGGGTCAGGTTCAAACCTATTGCAGTTTTAGTAAAGTTTTGTGTTTGCGAAAAGTTGGGCCTGAGCTAGCCCAACTTTTGTTAGTTCATTTTTGAGCCTCGCGACCAAATTAGAATTGAATTTCACTCCCTACCTGATTCAATTCTTGCCCCGTTAAAAAATAAAACATGGGCGGCCTAGTTTTGGTGGGGTTTGCTAAACAGGTCCTAAAATCTAGATTTTGAAAACTGAAAAAGATACATTTTTATATTTTAAGTCTATTTTGCGTTTCATGCACTGAGTTTATCAATGAGAATGACAATTCTATTGTGTTTTCTATTACTATTATTACTTTATTTCACGCGGAACAAAATACTTTCTTATTGTCGGTCTGTTTTTTTAGTACTTTCCAATATAAAGCATATTTGTATGTTATCCGTCAACACCGTTTACTCTATAGGTTTAATAACAAGGTTGGATCCAATTGCATACATGGGCGTATAGACATAGTTCAAAGGGGTGCAGTTGCACCCCTAAACTTTTTCTAGATTATCATATAAGTCATTTTATATTTACAATTTGCCCCACTTAAACATTTGCACCCTAACTCATCTCAAACTAGCGAAGCAACTAGTAGCAATTTGCACAAGCCAAATAAAAATTAGAAGCTTATTTAAATTTCGTGTCAAATGGGTCGGTTCCTATAAACTCAAAACTAGCAACACTATAATCCAAACACCCAAAACTCAAAAACCCAAACGCACTTTTCTCCCGACTCTGAAAAGTATCCGCAACTCTGATCCTAATCTCACTTCTCCCAACTTTTTAAAGTAAAATGAGGTCAGTAAACAGTTGAGTAGAAGAAGAAAATGATGAGTATTACTTATAATGACTACAGATTATAAATGTCCAAAATAGATTACATGTTAAAGCATATGATTCAAATAGAAATTAAATATCAGGATGTCAAGGTCCAATTTCCTAAAATATTGGGTAATCAAATGAGTAATTAAAAAAAAAGGTGTCAAAGACTAAGACGGCTGCAACTTTGGGGTTACAAAGTGCAATTAATCCAAAAGAAGAGAATATAAATAGTTAGATGAATTTAGGTTTAAGATCTTATCCATTAAGGAAATTTTAGATGATATGAATTCAAAATAAATTGTTGATATTATCATCATGATAATTGATTACAATGGAATTTACATTGTAAAACTACTATATATCCTCAATTGATATATTCACTGAGTGGGCTGTGGGCTCATTATATTTTTATTAAATAAATTCCAAACTGTACTACTCACTACGCAAATACAAACTACTCGGGGTCTTTTCTCAAAACCGCCACACAAATAACTGTAACCATCAGAAATCGTTAAGGGGCTGTTTGTTTTGAGTATTTTGCCTCGGGCTTTCCACCCCCTCCCCGAGGCAAAAAACTCAAAACAAACAAGCCAGGATCCAGCGCGCTTTCCGCCTCTCCTTGATATCACTTGCCATCCACATGACCCTCACTCTGTTAGGAATTTAACGCCTAAACCCCTAATTGCAACGGAAACGCAGTATAGAAAAGTACACCAAGATTTAACGAGGTTCGGCAACTGCCTACGTCCTCGGGAGCCACACAGATAATTTCTTATTAATTAAACAAGAAATTACAATTTAGGAGCGTATCTCAAAACTGAGATTTCTCAGATAAACACTGTAGCTACAGTGTTAATAATCAAAGGGTATGAACCCTTTCAATTTTCACTTGAGAACAAATGAATAACCCACTATAAAAACCCCTTTTTATATTCCTCTCTCTCCTTAAATCTTTTTCTTAATCTTCCCTCAAAATCAATTGAGCGCTGGAGATGGGAACGCAGCTGCGTTCTTGGTCGCCGCCAGAAGAAAAATCGGAGGAGGGGGAAAAAGATCAGCCACGAAACCCTAGGGCCAAAGGGGGGGCTTTATAGGCGGATGTGGAGAGCTGGCGACAGCCTGTCGCCAGCGTTCGCTTCGACGCCAAAATCTGAGCCGAACGCAGAGGTCGAACGAAGAACGCTGAGGTCGACGAACGCAGAGTTGGAGGGGGGGGCGAACGCACAGCAAAGGGGGAGGTTCGAACGCAGAGATCGAGGTCTGCGTTCGCCCGAAGTTTGCGTCTGATCTCCTCAACTCACCTGTTCGAAGTCGCCTGGAGATCGCCAAATCGAGCTCGCCTGCTCGAGAGCTTGCCGGACTTCTCGCTGCCGCTATTGTGAAACGCACATTGCGAGTCAACGTCAATGCTGATAACTCCGAGGGCTTTGTCTTTTGGACTCCGGTCATCTAGAAGGTTTCCACTCTTCTTCCTTCATAGAAATCTGGCTTCTTCCCGCGATAGTGGTTGATTACGATTTTTCTGATACAGATAATCGCTCTATCTGGCATTTTCGCAGAATCCAAAATCTGTTCAGTCAAATTTCTCAGTCTCATTTTTGCTGCTCGTGCACATGGGCGTGCCCACTTGAATCTGACTTGTTCTAGGATCGTTTCACGAGCTCTGATACGCATGTTTTCACTCATATGACCGAGTCTCTGGTGCCACAGCTTTGAGGTCTCATTGCTAGCTGCAACTGAGATCGAACAATGTGCACCTGCTGTCATATACAGGGTACCAGTCTTCTTGCCTCGGGCAATCGTCATTGCGCCCTTTGAGATCTTCCAATCACCTCCATGGAAGGTTGTGGTGTATCCTTCGCCAGCCAACTGGCCTACGGATATTAAATTCTTTCTCAGGTCGGGAATATGCCTGACATCCTTCAGCTCCCATACTGACCCGTTCAACTTAATTTTCACCACGCCTTTGCCCACAATAGCACATGGTTGATCATCACCAAGATATACGTATCCAAGTTTTCCGGGGGTATACTTCTCGAAGAATTCTTTCTGAGAGGTAGCATGGAACGACGCTCCTGAATCTAACACCCAAGATTCCTCCTTGCTCTCCAAAGAGCATATCAATGCGTCGTCTCCTCCTGAAGTGGAGGTGACATTCACCTCTGCCTTCGCTTCCTTCTCCTTCTGTGCGCTCTTGCACTGATTCTTGTAATGCCCGGTCTTTCCACAATTCCAACACTCGATAGCCTTCGAGCTGTTGCTTGGATTCCTTGATTTGGACCTCCTGTCCTTTGATCTACCTCTGAAGTTTGATTTTCCTCGTCCGTTTCTGGTTGAATTTCTACCTCTTGACTCTGTATGCAATACTGAAGAGGTTGTAGCTTCACCCGTTTCTCTCCGTCGGATCTCCTCACTGAGAACCAGATCACGAACGTCGCCGAACTTCAACTTAGTGCTTCCCGACGAGCTACTCACTGCTGTGACTGTAGCGTTCTAGCTTTCTGGGAGGGAAGACAATAATATCAACGCCTGAACTTCTTCATCAAACTCAATTTTAACTGAACTCAATTGGGTTGTGACCGTGTTGAGTTCATTGAGGTGTTGTGCTACTGACGCGCCTTCCGCCATTTTCAGATTGAATAACCGCCGCATCAAATGAACTTTGTTCGCGGCTGATGGCTTCTCATACATGTTTGAGAGTGCTGCCATAAGACCTGCCGTGGTCTTCTCCTTCGCTATGTTGAACGCAACATTATGAGTCAACGTCAATCTGATAACTCCGAGGGCTTGTCTATCTAGAAGGTTCCACTCATCTGCCTTCATGGAATCTGGCTTCTTCCCCGATAGTGGTTGATACAGATTTTTCTGATACAGATAATCCTCTATCTGCATTTTCCAGAATCCGAAATCTGTTCCATCAAATTTCTCAAGTCTCATTTTTGCCTCATCTGTGGCCATGGCTCCCACTTGAATCTGACTTGTTCTAGATCGTTTCACTCTCTGATACCAGTTGTTAGGAATTTAACGCCTAAACCCCTAATTGCAACGGAAACGCAGTATAGAAAAGTACACCAAGATTTAACGAGGTTCGGCAACTGCCTACGTCCTCGGGAGCCACACAGATAATTTCTTATTAATTAAACAAGAAATTACAATTTAGGAGCGTATCTCAAAACTGAGATTTCTCAGATAAACACTGTAGCTACAGTGTTAATAATCAAAGGGTATGAACCCTTTCAATTTTCACTTGAGAACAAATGAATAACCCACTATAAAAACCCCTTTTTATATTCCTCTCTCTCCTTAAATCTTTTTCTTAATCTTCCCTCAAAATCAATTGAGCGCTGGAGATGGGAACGCAGCTGCGTTCTTGGTCGCCGCCAGAAGAAAAATCGGAGGAGGGGGAAAAAGATCAGCCACGAAACCCTAGGGCCAAAGGGGGGGCTTTATAGGCGGATGTGGAGAGCTGGCGACAGCCTGTCGCCAGCGTTCGCTTCGACGCCAAAATCTGAGCCGAACGCAGAGGTCGAACGAAGAACGCTGAGGTCGACGAACGCAGAGTTGGAGGGGGGGGCGAACGCACAGCAAAGGGGGAGGTTCGAACGCAGAGATCGAGGTCTGCGTTCGCCCGAAGTTTGCGTCTGATCTCCTCAACTCACCTGTTCGAAGTCGCCTGGAGATCGCCAAATCGAGCTCGCCTGCTCGAGAGCTTGCCGGAGCCCTTCGTCGCCGGAGGTGAGTTTGATCTACACCCTTTTCAACACACTCCCCCTCTCCAGTCTCTCTTCCTCCACATATCTCGCCTATAAATACTCTCCCCGGAATTCGAATCCTGTCACCGGCTCCCCAATCCTGAAACCCAAACCCTAGCCCTAACCGAAACCGTGATGCTACCCTTTGAAAGCATCGCCGAGGCGGAGTCCGTCCTCGGCCGCAACCTCACCGGCGCCGAGACGTTCTGGTTCCGGTACTCCGCCGGCATGCACGACTTCTGGCTCTACGCCCACAACATCGTCTTCCTCCTCACCGTCTACACCATCGCTCCTCTCCCTCTCGCCTTCATCGAGCTCACGAACCCTAAGTGCATGCGCAAGTACAAGCTCCAGCCGAAGGTCAAGACCTCTGCTGATAGGGTCATGGATTGCTACACCAATGTCGTGAAGACCTTTCTTCTTGCGGTGGGGCCGTTGCAGCTGCTGTCGTATCCGACGATCAAGGTGAGTCTGGTGCCTGTGAGGCGATTCATTGTTTGCTTAGGGTCACCGTTTGGTGGTGGGATTTGAGAACGCGGGGGCTGAAGTACAGGCAGTTTGTTGCCTGTCACGGTCGCCGAAATTCTGTGGGGTTGGTAAAAGTCGTTGAAGTTTGAGAATTTTTAATGGGTGTTGCAGGTAATTTCAGCAAATTTTTAGTAAAAAAATGTTTTTCTCTCCGGTTCCAGCAACAGGAAGTATCAAATAGTCCCGGAGACAACAGGAAATTTTAGTTTACCTTTATAGGAGAGTTTCATTTAGAAGGAAGGGAAATTTCTTCTCTTCCTTTAGTCATCTCCTAAACACACCATTAGATTATTGAACTATGAGATTTGTACATGATAATTGTGTGACACACATACATGAACCATGTCCTTTGAATATATATTTCCTTGTTCTAGAACAAGGTTTTTCTGATGTGATTACCCTAATGAACCTTTATTTTACCTTAACAGCTATACCCATGCGTATATTTAAAAATTATTTTCAAAATTTTATATTAAAAAGGAAAGCATACATACAGATTAGAATCTAGATTTTGAAAACTGAAAAGACATCTTTTTCTATTATGTCTGTTTTTTGTTTCGTGTTGTGAGTTTACCAATGAAAATGACAATTCTATTGTATTTTCTATTACTTTCATTACTTTATTTGACGAGGAACAAAGTAGTTTCTTATTGCTACTAGTATGTTTTTTTAGTACTTTTTAATATACGTCATATTTGTATGTTATCTGTCTACCCCGTTTAATATACAGGTTTAATAAAAAAAAGTTGGGTCCGGTTGCGCACATGGGAGTATAGATACAGGTCCACTGTGGGTGCAGTTGGACTCCTAAATTTTTATCTCACGAACCCCACGAATATTAGGGTGTCTCACAATACTCCTTGAAGTTTTCATCCAATAACTCATCCATATCATCCAATAAAATATTATTTTCACCCAACAACTCATCTCATATCATCCAATAAAATAAACCAAACAAAAGAAATGGGTCACATCATCCAACTCATCTCATCTCCATCCCATCTCATCTTTAAAAATCACCCACATCATCCAATAATATTGTGACAACTCATCTCATCTCATCTCCATTTCATCTTCACCCATTTCCTCCAAAAAAACAAGGAAATTAATTTCCTTAAGTGTGGGTCACATCATCCAATAATATAATGACAACTCATATCATCTCATCTCATCTCCTATTTTTAAGAATGAACCAAACACAAGAGAATAACCTATTATAAGAAATATGTTTCCTATTCTTTGATTTCCTTCTTTTTTAACCAACCAAACAACCTCAAAACAACTTTTCTTAAAAAATCACTCACATCATCTAATAATATAGTGACACATCATCTCATCTCATCTCCTATTATTTGATTTTCTTCTTTTTTTAGCCAACCAAACAACTATAAAACATTTTTTTAAGGAAATAGGTTTCCTATTCCTTGATTTCCTTTTTTTTTTCCAACCTCAAAAAATTCATATATATACATAAAAGTTATTAAGTCTAACCGTAGGAAGTCTTTTTAAGCTACACCAAAGCTATTTAATATAGTTATTGGGTCTATTATCTATAATTGTTGATGGTCTTTTGATGCTACAGTAAATCTATTTAATATATATACAATAATACAACTAATCTACCATAAAAGCTAAATAGTTCGATTAATACATTTTTTCCCTATGATTTCACTAGGTCCCAGGCTCGATTCCCTCAGCCCATCTCGTTTGTTTTTTCACCTTTACTTAACATACTCTTTTTAATGTGAGTCCTTTACATCTTTGATATTTTGAAATTAACTCCTCACATCATGAAATTTGTTATTAAGTCTTACAAATACAATTCTTAAGTTACTTAGAAATTGATCTAGGTCCCAGGTTCGATTCCCTCAAAACTTTCCCATTTATTTTTTTAACCTTTACTTAAAAAATTCTTTTCAATATGAGTCCTTTAAATCTTTCATATTTTGAATTTAATCCCTCAAATCATGAAAATTGTTATTAAGACTTACAATTCTTAAATTAATTGGAAATTAATCCCTCAAATCAGTAAAATTCCTATTAGGCTCCTTAATTCTTAAAAGTTATCTTGAAATTATTCTCTTTAATAAAAAGTAGAAGCAACAATTAGAGAAATTAATCTAAAAAAGATTACAAGTTTTAGAGGACTTAATAGCATCTCTATTAATTTTGCTAGTCCTTTGAATCTGTCATGTCTTGAAATGAATCCCTCAAATCATGAAATTGTTATTAAGTTCTACAATTCCTAAGTTAATTAGAAATTGATCTCGAAAATTATTAAAATTGATATTAGGTCACTTAATTCTTAAAAAGTTATTTTGAAAGTGCCCCCTTTAATAAAAAAATAGAAGCAACAACTAGAGAGATAAACTTGAGGGATTAATTTCAAAATAATTTTGGAATTTTGGAATTCGAAACACTAGCAATTTCAATGATTTTGAAGCCCGACTACTTTTAAGAAAAAGTTTAATTTTTATTTTAACTAATAGACTCAAAAGTTACCCCATTTATTTTGAAAACCATGTACTTCAGCCTTTTTTTCTTTCCAATATTAGCGTCTTACAACTCTTATAGTTTGAAACTAATCCCCTCTAATCACGAAAATTGCTATCACATCCCGCCAATTCTTAAATCATATAAAAGTTGACCCCCTTATTTTGTAATGGGTTCATCTAATAAAGAGTGGAAGTAATAACTGGACTCATTAATTTAAAAAAGATTATGAAAATCATGAGACCTAGGGGGATTTATTTGAAAATAACTAATTTATCTCTAGTACAACTCCCAAATACATTTTTACCCATAAATTACAAAAATTTTGAAGTTGTTGAAATCTAGAAGATAAGATAAATGTGGACATTACTTGAATATGGACAATTAATGTCTTACAACTCTTATATTTTGAAAGTAATCCCTCAAATCATGAAAAGTACGATCACATCCTGCCAATTCTTAACTTATTCAGAAGTTGACCTCTCAAATAATTGAAATTACTATTAGGTTCTTCAGTTCTTAAATTATTTTCCAACGAGTCCCTCTAATAAAGAGTATAAGTAATAACTAGAGTCATTAATTTGAAAAAGATTATGAAAATCGTGAGACCTAATAACAAATTCAATGAGTAGAGGGGTTTATTTGAAAATAACTAATTTATCTATATTACAACTCCCAAAACCATTTTTATCCACAAATTAAAAAAGAGTTTTCTAAGCAAAATATGTAACCATTATTTTTTGGCTTCTTCACACAAATGATGCGGCAACGCGCGGGTCAATTTTAATCGTTTACATATCTATCCTTGCAAAATTAAACTTATAAAAAGCTAAAATCAATTTAATTAAAAAATAATTTTGTGAATGTATGAATTAAAATCAATAAAAATAACATATAAATATGTATTGTATTGAAGTTTATATGAAGGTAATTTTCCTATTGATTTTCCACTGATTTTATTACAAATAAATAAATACCATAATACTTCCTCTGTAAAAGGAAATTTACAACAACACACCAAGAAAAATATTCAAATTTAGGTCACATGATTATACTCAATTAATCACAAATTAAAAATTCAGTATAATGATTTTCATTTACACGCATTTGCATAAATCAGAGTATATAATTTTAAAAAAGCATATTTGCCTTGTAAAGAAAAACTTGAAAGAATTGATATTTCTTATTTTAATGAAATTTAAATACTTGCATGTGTCCATATTCAATCTTTACAAACAAAAAATTATTGAGTATTATGTAGAAATATGTATATGTTAAAAATTATGTAGAATTTCCAATCTATATATTAAAAGAAAAGGGGACCCCCTCAAATTCCTTGCCCCGCTATAGCATATAGCTTAAAAAAGAACTAAAATGTCCATGAGAGGAAAAAACTCTTAGTTTGGGGGATAGGATACGTTGCTTGTAAATAAAAAATGACTAAGTGGATGTTTTTTCCCTCAAGGATATCTTAACTATTTTTCAATTATAGGCATATAAAATTTGGGATAAAAGCTTTGTTGTTTTTCTTGTGGGTCAAGAGTTTGTTGGAAAAAGTAAAATTTAGGATGGTTTTGCCCAAAGTTTTGGAGGTTCTGTGAGATAAAAGGAGTGCATGGGGTTTATTATAACCCCCAAAGTT